CAGTGGGAGAGGGAGAAGCAGACTTCCCGCCGAGCAGGGAGCCCGATGTGGGACTCGATCCCAGGACCCTGGGATCATGACCTGAGCTGAAAGCAGCCGCTTAACGACTGAGCCACCCAGGCGCCCCACACATACATTTTCTTAAATAATTATATTGTAATCAGAAAAAATCCTAATGCAATGCTGTTACAGCAATCCTGTCTTACTTTTATGCTCTAGGAAAGGAAGGTGAAAGGCAAGGTTATTGATTGGGTATATTAGAGTCAGCCCTAGGTCAGGCTTTTCTGGCTTATGCTTGTGTGCTGAAATGTTTCCACGCACAGATTTGCTGTCCCAAGATGGATTTCCTCCTCCTTCCCAGAGTGACGAACATAAGTGTATTTGTGCCCTTGCCTTCTACATTTCCCATGAAATACGCAGACCTGTGGCCGGTAAAGCCCAGGAGCCTCACAGAAGCTGTTAGGCAGTGTTGCCTCACCCAGGGCTGCCCTGATGCACCTTGTTCTCTGATAAAAGGAGAGGAGGATGGGCACAAACTCTGCGTGTGACCCCCATTCACTGCCACTCCCACACCCAAAGGCGGCTCAGGGGGAGCAGAAAGGGGGTTGGATCAAGGAATAGTCTGGGCTGTAAGGTCCTGCTGCATAATAAAACTGGGAGGTGAGAGGAGCAGGGATTTTAAAATTGCCTCTAAATGCTAACAGTCCAATTTGATGATCAACATTTTAGAAGAACCAGGCAGTACCTTCATGCTGCTTTTGATTTCCAAACAATGTAGGGATATCCAGCAGGTACAGTAATAATAAAATGGCACATTTACTGTCTACCTACTATGCGTCTAAACACTGCTTTAAACACTTTCTGTATACATTTCAACTCACTCAATCCTCGCCACAACCTGAGAGGTAGGGGCTATGTCCTGCCATTTACACAGGAGGAGACTGGGGCACAGAGGGGCACATATCACAACTTGCCAAGTCACACGGCTGGTAAGTGATGGAGCTGGGATGCTAACCCAGCAGTTTGGACTCGGGCCCGGGTTTTTGACTACTAGGCTGCTACCACCATTTTGTGCATCTGAACCACTACTATGTACCTCATCACAGAGGGCAACATCCCCCAACAAGGGAGTGATGTGCCACAGCCCCGGAATTCTGCACTTGGAGGCTCCCCTGTGACGTGCTCTCAGCCCACTGCTGGACGGCAGAGGTGCCAGGAGCCAGAAGACCTTGCTCACTCACACTGTGAGCTCTAGGGATCTGAGCAATTCTACCAGCCCGAGAACTCCCACCTTGTCATCAGGTTCAGATCAGATCGGATGCTTACAACGGACAGAGCAGGGTGCAGCTTCAAAGCATCTCCTTCAACCCCAGCTCATAGACTAATTAAAGAGAGACTAGAGAGAGGACATGACTTCCTAAGATGGCACAGTAAAGAGCACACGATACACAAAAAGACTTTGACAACCAACCCACAATCATTATCATTACATGGTCCTGCCACAAATGGCTGATCAAACCTTCCCTGCCCAGGGGGAATTTAATTTCACATCCAGACTACAAGAAGCCCACAGCTACCCCCTATAGATCGAATCTTATAGCATCACCACTGTTACAAGTCAAGGCTGGCTGAATACGGGCAATTTCATGTGGTGCAACCCAAATATGTACTTTTCTAAACCAAAGCCTCTCGTTCCTGACAGCCACAGCGGGGAACAGCAAGGCCCCGGTGCTGGGAAGTTCTGCCTGAGTGCAGCGGGTAAAGCTGGTTTTCTGGACTATCAGGACCAGGACCGTGGAGGCAGCTGCCAGTGAAGAACAATGGTTAATGACCTGGCAGCCACCACAAATCCTGAGCTTAAAGATTAATGGGAAGAGCTTCAGGGGGGTTATTATGGATAAACACACCACAAAATGAACAAATAAATGAACAGGACCAGTTCATTACTCAGATTAAAAAGAAAGTAACAAATTTGCTGGTGATTCTTGGCAAAAGTATCTTTTCCTTAATCTCTGAATCTAAATTAGCTGACGGAGCTCGCACGTGTCTGCACTGATGCTGTATGCTTGTAGGAAGCCAGTTAAAAAAAAAATCCCAATGGTCCTAAGTGACTGTAATATTCATATAAAACAAAGCCTATTACTAAAGCTTCATTTAATTACAGAGAGGTGGCAGAGTTAAGTCCAAAAATACACACATGTATTCTATTATTGCTAAATCTTCACACCAACATGAGACAGTGGGTTTGTATTTTATCATCGCTGTCATCATGCCTGGCTAAAAGGACAGGTGCGCTGGAAGTACCATTCAGATTCCTTCAGCTTGAAAGAAAGTTTCAAAATTTCAATCCCTAGGGCCACTGGTTAAAGTTATTTTTCAAAAGGAAACGGAGGCAATGAGGAGATGAGATTAAGAATTTCTTCTGTGGACGACTACGATTTAAAATTAAACTAGATCTTAAACTAAACAATGCCTGCAGCTATCTGGATAAAAAAAAAAAAAAGCCTACCATGTTTAGAAAAGCAGACTGAGGGAGAAACATAACATCCAGTTCAAAAGCAGATTGCTGAGGGGAAATGTCAGAGCCAGTCCTGACACTTCTGGAACTGACCAAGATACGCAGAGCCTCCCAGGCCTTGCGTCTTCGGGGGGGCTGCTGGTCATCCATCTCCTCCTGCGTGAGCTGGAACTGCCTCCTGGTAACAGACTGTGGACGCTCAGTGACCACATTCCCACAGAGCAGCTCTGAGACAGGCCCAACTGTGGAATTCCTCTCAAAAGCAAGGTAGCATGGTGGAGTTCTGGAATGCCGCATTAACGTTGTTTCCATAGAACTTTTTGTTCTAGACTCAACTCCTTTGATTGTTCAAGTGCAGAATTTCTATTATTTGAAGCTGCCTTTTTGGGAATTTGTCTTCTTTTCTCAGAACTGCTTCCTAGACCCTCTGTTACTTTCTTAGAAACCATCCTTCCATGTTGAAACTCAGGCTGCACGGTTTGCCTAATGCTTCGAGGCTGACACCCTCCAGGTGTCACCTGGTACCACCTTGTGAAGTACTAACCTCTTTGAAAAATGCCCCTGGGGGCAGAGCCTCAAGCCAATGCCCTGTAATGAGAGGGCCAGGGTAATGAGACCTACCCCAGGGGTGACTGGTGGTTGCTCGGTGGGTTGGGGGGAGAAAGTTCTCCCCTGCAGACAACCAAGTCCCATTCCTTTTTTTTTTTTTTAAGATTTTATTTATTTATTTGCGAGAGAGAGAATGAGAGATAGAGAGCATGAGAGGGAAGAGGGTCAGAGGGAGAAGCAGACTCCCTGCTGAGCAGGGAGCCAGATGCGGGACTCGATCCCGGGACTCCAGGATCATGACCTGAGCCGAAGGCAGTTGCTTAACCAACTGAGCCACCCAGGCGCCCCAAGTCCCATTCCTATTAAGTACTGTATTTGGACCTGGTTCCCAGAAAGTATGCTATGTAAAGAGGGGTTTGCCTGCCTTTAGAGTTAGCCCCGCTGGTGCTCCCATAGGGACACTATAATTACATACACATGTTTGAGCGCCCTACACTAATTGACTTTTTTCTTGTGTAAGCACTGGGAGAAACAACAGCAGTGTTGGGTGGATATGACTTAGTCATGCTGTTTACTCTTAGGTGCGATGAGGCACGTCCCTTACATGTGAGCCTCATATGTGCATGGCCACCGGCGTGGCTAGAACAGAAACTCTTCTCTGCCAGTGCTCCATGAGGTGCAGGGTGGTAGACAGAAGGGAAGAGGAAACTGAATTCTAATATTGGCTCTCCCTTTTCTTGGGTAAATCATTTTACTTCTTTGCTCTCAGTTTTCTCACCTGTCAAATGGCCACTGTAGCATTGTCTTATTAACCCAGAAAAAGGAGTGTGTATGAAATTATTAATCGATAGTTGGGGACAAAAATCATCACCTTTATCATCGTTGTTTGTGGGCTACATTAAGGACAGCCTTCAAAGTTCGATAGAGGGCAGTAGGCAGTGTTTCTCAGTCCAAGTGTCAAGCCCTTCGGCGGTCCAGGGGTCACCAGTAGGGACTGTGGGCCACATGGCCTGAGTTCCAATTTGAGCTGCCACTCACCAGCTGAGTGACCCTGTGGAAGTTAAATTAACTTCTATGCATCAACTCCTCCTGTCTACCTTGGGGGGAAGAGCAGCACCTATAGGTCACAGGGGTTTGCTGAGGATTTAGAGCTAATATAAAAGTAAAGTCTAGAACTGTATCTCATACACAGTAAATACCATATTATTATTTGCTAATATTTTTCTATGTATTCTCAATTTAATTAATGCTTGATTACATAATGCATGGGTTATTTTCAGCAAGTTTTAGATCCCAGATAATGAGCCTCGCCATTCGAAAATTTTTTTTTTTTTTAAGATTTTATTTATTTATTTGACAGAGCGAGACACAGTGCGAGAGAGGGAACACAAGCAGGGGGAGTGGGAGAGGGGGAAGCAGGCTTCCCACTGAGCAGGGAGCCTGATGCGGGACTTGATCCCAGGACCCTGGGACCATGACCTGAACCGAAGGCAGACGCTTAACGACTGAGCCACCCAGGCGCCCCTCGAAATTTTCTTAAATGCTTCTTTTCCATACTCATCTGCTGTATCTTTGGCATTTGAAAAAAGATTTGTCAGGGAAATAAATCATCTGCCAAAAGAAAACAAGCCGACAGCCATTCTTCCAGGCTTTCCCCTTGTGAATGTGGACTTCACAAGATAGGCATTTGAAAAAAGTGGCAGCTTATTTCTTTTTTAAGCCTTTGTCCGGCAAAAAGAGAGTAAGACTCAAGGCAGTGGTAATGAAACCACGGGATTCCAGGCCAGTCTCTCATGGAGAAGGACCTTGTGCCCTGCACTTTCCAGGCCTCTGGAACCTTCCAGGGCCCATCTTGGGACAGGAAGACTGGCTATTGCCTGCTCCATGACCAGGGCTCCCTGGAGGCCCTGATGGGGGAGCTTTTTGTCCCACTTCCCCTCAATTGTCTCAGGAGACCCTCTGATGTTCTCCCACCTGGGCTCAACCCCTACTTCTCCCACAGGAGAGGCTCCGGTGCCAACCAAGGCCGCTCTGGAGATGGGGAGGAAACTCCTCCCAGAGAGCATCCTGCAGGTGGAAAAAAATCATCTGGACAGTATTCTGCAAATCACTGTCAGCAGCGAGATGGGATTTCTCTGTGACTCCATCTACATCATCTCTGCATTTCTGTTCATCCTACTGCCATATTCCCCGGCTGCCATTTGGATGCCTCCTTCGATTTATGATAAGAGCATAAAAAAGCCCTTTGAGTCCGGTTTCTCTCAGAGGCGTGTCTGGAGGTTGCCTGGGATGCCCTTGGCAGAGCCACCGCACAGCACCTGGACACAATCATTCTTCCCCTTGTCCTTGTGAATGGTGCCCCCCGGAGTTGTGCGATGAGACATCTCAGCCTCTGGGAGGACAGCAGATGGCTGGGAGGATCCATTTCTATTTTTTAAACCATTTAAAAAGTTCCTTTGTTTGGATGACCCCTCTCTGGCTTTGCACCCCCACAGTCCACACCCCCAGAGTAACTGGTCTAAGGCAGGAGACTCATAAAAGAGGGGAATGGGGGGGCGAGGGGTAGGGCAGGAGAGAAGAAAGAGAAAAAGGTTGTTTAAAAAAAAAAAAGCTAGGAGTAGCAAAAAGGAGGAAGGAGAGGGAGGCGATGGCAGGTCAGTCCAAGAGGGCAGGTGCCCTGCATCCACACACCCCCGTTTCACTGGGAGCCCTGGGGAGAGGGTACAGGGTAGTATAAACGAAACAGAGCTCCAGCTAAGACAGAACCTCAGCCATCCCCCAACTTCACTTCTGTCATAGAATGACCAAGTCACAAATTTAACTTTTTGTATTGTTTTGCCTCTACTTCCCCTGCCCCGCCTTAATGAATAAGGGAGAGGCTCAGAACATGGGAGTGAGAAGCATAAGAGGCAGCCGGGCAGGTGAGGTGACCTGTCCTGGAATAATCAACAGGCTGAGTCTCGGGGTCAGGCGAACCCCAGGGGTCCTCTGGGCTAAGTTCTCAGTACAGGAGTCCCCAGCACACCATGCTTGAGCAGCGGCCATCCAGCCATCACTTAACATTGTCAGTGACGGGGAGCTTGCTTCCTGACAAGGCAACTTAATCCATTTCTGTGCAGCTGAAATATTAGAAGTTTATTCTTTGTACTGTGTGCCCTTATAACGTCCAATCCCGGGGCCTTAGCTCTGTCCTCTGAAGCCACCCAGAATAGGCAATAAATATCATTTTCTATGATAATCTTTGCAAATACTTGAATACAGAAGCATATTCTCTATATCTTCTCTCTTCTAGAATAGACATGCTCCATTCTGTTATTGAAACTTTATATGTAATTGGCAAGAATTCAAAGAAAAGGTTTAAACAACCTGACCAAAGATGGCGGGCTGCTGGTCCTTACCGATTCAGGAATGCGTTTCCAAAGCGACTAAGCTTTCGAAATGGCTTTTTGGGGTCCACGACTAAAGCGTTCCCTGGGGTGCTGCCCTCAGTCTCCCCATACATCACAGCAATGAAGGAATCGGTGGTAGGCTCTGGACCAATCCTCATGCCTGGGAAATCTTGTTCCAGTAAGTATCTAGGAGAGGGAAACAGAAAAGAAACTTAGCAAGTTATCACAAAGCAAGAGGCCAGAAAGCTTCCTGGGCCTAGAAATATAACCACCAAGAAAAGGAGAATGATTGGCATTTTACTCTTTTGCTAATGACAAATTTTCAAAGCTTAAGCTCTACAGACCTAAGCCCCACCTTCCCTCCCCCTTGAGGCCTAGTAACAGGTCAGGCATCTTGCAGATTTCCTGGGTCTTCTGAAAGCGTACCTCTGCTCAGCACAATTCCCATTCCTGGTTCCAGTGGCACCACAGACACCACCCCAGGGAACTGTACCCAGCCAGCTCCTGTGCATCCTGCGAGAACCTGCTCAGGCCCACCTCCTTTTGGGAAGTGTCCCCATCCCTCCAGTGTGTTGGGCACACCTCCTCTGTGGGCCCCGGGCACCCTGTGCCTGCAGCCATGATGGTGCTCACCAGGGGCACTACATTTTTCTCATCGTGGGCCCTGGCAGGCAGGCCCATGCCTATGGCCAGATGCATAGCCCCAGCACCCAGCACCATGCCTGCCCACAGAGGGCACTCAGTGTAGTGAATGAAATAATGAACCATCTCCCTTCCTTGTCACTGGTGATCAATGAGGCCAGCACATCCTCCCTGTGTACTTTACAGCTCCCCTGGGTTCCTGGAGGTAATGGCCATAGAAGCTGATCTCCAAAGAATTCTGCAGCAACAGAGGCTGTTATGAGGAATGGGGGTTGAAGAAGGGGTGTCTTGGGAGGGGTCAGATTTGATACCACCAGGGCCATTACTAGTCCTATGTGCAAACTGGAAGAAGATGCCCCTTCCTCCGGGCAGACATAGCCCTGCACCAGGGCTCACAGCTTAGCAAGCTAGCTGGATTTTACCCTGCAACATGCTCCCCTGCCCAGTGCCCTCATGGAGTTTAACCTGCACAACTGGGCAGGTGGGCCTAGCAAATGTCACTGATGGTTCCTATTCAGGGGGCCCAGAAGACCAACTGATGGGATACAGGTCAAGGACTGGCTCAGTGATATGGCTGGGGTGGGGCAAGGCGGCCAGAGGTAGAGTGGTGGCGAAAGTCTGCTTTATATGGAAAACAGCTGAGCCCTAACTCACTCCTCTGCACCAGCCTTCCACCACCAGCACTTCATTCAGCCGAAGCCCCTCGGAGCCCCTCCCTCACCACCAAGATTTCCTTTCCATGAAGAAGAAACACACTTCCCTGTATTAATGCATATGTGGAATGGGGGGGGGCAGGGGAAAGACTACTCCCTCCTTCCTTTGCAGCCAAGGGGAACATGAAGAAAGGAGTACTTTGGAATACATTTCCCTCATTACCAAGCAACAGGTGGAAAGGCAACACCTTCAGAGAACACTTGAAAGTGACTGGGAGCAGGTTCTGGGAGTGGGGAGCCGTGGAAAGGAATCCCTGTTGGAGGTGATTAGGGCGGAGCCAGGTCCCAAGCCTGCCAGGGCGATGACCCTTGACCCTGGGAGAGAAGCTCCAGGGCATGAATGTGCACAGTTTTCTCCAGCTCCCCATGCCTAACAACTATTTATTTCTAAAATGTCTCAACTGATCAAATTTAGGTCTGAACCTGTCATTTTATTTCCTGGGACAGAAGGGACTACACTCTCAACTGTCTAACACAATTTTGCCATCTTTCTAAGAATAAGAAATTAGGCCATCCCCGACACCTATGTTTTCTATATAAAATAAAAAACTGAAATTGTTTAGCCATCTTAGCAGGCTATATTCTGAACATTTAATTGATTTCTTTTTTTTTTTTAAGATTTTATTTATTTATTTGAGAGAGAGAGACTGAGAGATAGAGAGCACGAGAGGGAAGAGGGTCAGAGGGAGAAGCAGACTCCCTGCCGAGCAGGAAGCCCGATGTGGGACTCGACCCCGGGACTCCAGGATCATGACCTGAGCCGAAGGCAGTCGCTTAACCAACTGAGCCACCCAGGCGCCCCACATTTAATTGATTTCATTGCTAGTTTTTATGTCATCCAAAGTTTCTACATTTCTTTCTGTGAAGTTGTGGAGCACCAGAATAGATAACATTTAAATATGTCCCCTAAATTTTGAGGAAATGTGAACAAACGATCAGATAACAGCACCCAGCATTTACCAAGTGCTCGTTATTTACCTGGAGTACAAAGCCCTCCATGTGCACAATTGTTCGTGTAATCCCCATAACACTCTGTAGTGGGCACTAACATTATTCCCATTTTACAGGTGGGAAAACTGGGACATCAGAAAGGCTAAGCAACTTGCCTAAGGTCACACAATAAGTGTGTTTCGGTGGAAATGGAATGCAGGCAGCTGGACTCCAGGTCTTGTGCTGTCTCCAGACAATGTTTTTCTTTGTTTCTGTTTATTTAAAGATTTTATTTATTTATGAGAGAGAGAGAGAGAGAGAGAGAGAGAGAGAGAGAGAGAGAGAGAGAGAGAGAGAGGGCATGAGCAGGGGGAGGGGCAGAGGGAGAAGCAGGCTCCCCGCTGAGCAGGGAGCCCGATGCGGGGCTCAATCCCAGGCATCTGGGATCATGACCTGAGCCTAAGGTAGAGGCTTAACCAACTGAGCCACCCAGGCGCCCCTTCAGACAATGTTTTAAACCTGGGTTTGAGCTGGTGGTTTGCTCTGAGATGAGGAGCACAGGGGGAGTTCAGGGCCCTCATGCAGAGTGTGCTGGCCATAGACACTGCAATCCTATTTCTCCTCAAAAGTGAGGGAGGAGAGTTCTCCCCACTGTCTTCCTGCATGGTCCTGGGGCTGCCCTAACAACAAGGCACCAGCTCTCTCTGTTCTCCCTAGAGAAAAGCTGGGGAGAGAAGGAGATACTTTTCCAAACATGTTCAAATTTAATTTTTTTAAAATTTCAAAACTTTTTCAGGCACTGAGCATACTAGTAAATACCCTTAGGAGCAGAAATGTTCACATTTACAAATTCTTATGAAATTCCACACAAATCTTAGAAATACTGGTAGAAGCCAGCAATAGCATCTCACGCTCTGTGAAACTCCAGCACTTGCAGAGTGTAAAGACAGTGTGTGAATTTCATATACACATACGAATGTGGAATTTCGGTTTTACAGCCACTCTGGGATCTCAAGTCTGAAGTCATTCATCAGCAAAGCTAGGATTCAAGTCCAGATCACACCGCTCCCAAGTCCACTCTGATTTCCACGCCCCATGGCCTGGATGATGCTATGCCAGGAGATCCGTGGGACAGAGGAAGGGGGACCACCGAGGAGGGGGGCCTGGGTTTGGAAGAACAGCAATCAATGTCACCAGGCTCCCTGCAGCACACACAGTTCTCACAAAAGGCTCAGATCCAAGTGTTGGCTTGAAACTTGACAGGCACTCTCCCACAGAATCAATGTTAACAGCAATGGCTGGCTTGCAAGATAGCCTACAATGTTCACAGACACCCCAATAAAATAGAAACCAGACAAGAACTGTAGCACTACCTTTTGGGGGAAAACCCAGTGTTGGGCCCTGCCTTGGGTGGCTTTCTGCAATCTTGCCCCTTCTCAGCACCTTCCCAGGCCTAGGCAGGAGGAGGGCCCTTCAGCTCCCGGCCTTGGGAAGTGTGGATGGGGCTCAGGCAGGGGTGGAGGGGTGTGTGGACGCCGTGGTTCAGCAGGAGGTCCCCAGCAGGGAAGTAACTCACACGTAAAGGTGTGTAAGTCAGGCCAAGGAGAGCCTGGATTGCTTTTGATGTTTACATAAATATATAGGTTTATATAAAAGCACAACAAACCCCACTATTTTGGGAATAATAGGGGTTTCAATGAAAAGCCTAAAGTATAAAATTGTTTCAAGAAGAGCATGTGTTTCTTATTTTCAAGTTCATGATGTAAGAGAAGCTAGAACGTCCCAAGTAGCAACCCTGCCAGACAGAACTTTAATAAATTATTTTAAAAGTATACTTACATGTATTTCGGTTTATATTTGACAGATATTTGTTAAAGTATGTTGCTAATGTGAATCAGTTTGAAAAGGTGCCTCTGAACTGTGACTTTGATAAATCACTCCATCTTTGGGTGCCAGACACAGAAGAGAAGTAGAACTAGGAAGGGCTCTTGTGTAGCCTGTTTACCTTGTTAATCTGCTTAGTGATACTTTCTCCCGCAGATAATAAGAAGCCAAAATTCAGTGTTCAATTTCGTTATCAAAGCGATACCAATAAAGATATAATGTATTAACACTTTTTTTTTTTTTTTAAAGATTTATTTATTTGAGAGAGCGAGAGTACATGAGAGGGGAGAGGGTCAGAGGGAGAAGCAGGCTCCTCGCCGAGCAGGGAGCCCGATGCGGAACTCGATCCCAGGACTCCAGGATCATGACCTGAGCCGAAGGCTGTCGCTTAACTAACTGAGCCACCCAGGTACCCAATGTATTGACACTTTAAAGAGCTCATAATACCCAACTCTGGTGAGGGTGTAGTAAAATAGACACCCTTATGTATATTAGTGGAATAATCAGTTGGTATAACCTCCCTGAAAAGCAATTTGATACTTTGTGTCAAAAGCCTTTAAAATGGGGGCAGTTCTCCTTTTTGAAATCTATCTTTAGCAAAAATCCTAGATACACGAAAAAGATTTTTGTGTGAAGATGTCCATTGCAGCATTATCTATAACAGCAAAAAAATTAGAAAAAAAATTGTGTTCTCTTTCCCATGGCTGTAAAATTCACTTATTGTATTTATGACTTATTCCCTGCCTCCAGCTGGTAGACTATATGCTGCAGGAAAGCAGGGCAAAAAAAAAAAGTCTCTTCTGTTCACTAATGCTTGCAACAATCTCTGGCACATGGTTGGGGTGCTCAAGAAATACTTGTTGAAATAATGAGTGTTTGAATGTCTGATCACACTGGACCTTGCGCCACCTTTTCAATATGCCAAGGCCATTCCTACCTTGGAAGGCCCTCCCCCAGATCTCTGCATGTCACATGATACTTCCTTGGGGAGCACCCTGACACAGAAGCCTCTCCAGT